CTGGCGCCGTTCCGCTGCTCCCGTCTTGGGGTGAGGTTTTCGGTAGTGAGCCTCTAAATGTGTGTTGTATATGATACAATGAATTTTTCGGGCCTCCACCTCTCACCCCTTCCCCCTCCCCGACCTTTACTTTGGACATCGGGGGGGGGCGGGGAGCAGCTGAAGCGCCGTCTGTATAACGTGTTATGCATGTGTTCTCCGTCTCAAGTTCTCCCTGTTCCCTCCCTCCCTTCTTTCGTATTCGTACCTTTCTGCCTCCTCCTCGGTATTGGGGATTGTGAGTCCAGAGCGAGTCCATCGCTTCGCCCGTCGCTCAGCCGGCTCGCCTCTGAATTTCTGCAAAGGAAGCCGCCGCTCTCGGCGGCACCGTGATCATCTGTCAGGACCGAAAATCGTCCTGTCCATTGCCATTGTCTCAGGGTCCTGATTTCTTTTGGCTGGCGCCGTTCCGCTGCTCCCGTCTTGGGGTGAGGTTTTCGGTGGTGAGCCTCTAAATGTGTGTTGTATATGATACAATGAATTTTTCGGGCCTCCACCTCTCACCCCTTCCCCCTCCCCGACCTTTACTTTGGACATCGGGGGGGGGCGGGGAGCAGCTGAAGCGCCGTCTGTATAACGTGTTATGCATGTGTTCTCCGTCTCAAGTTCTCCCTGTTCCCTCCCTCCCTTCTTTCGTATTCGTACCTTTCTGCCTCCTCCTCGGTATTGGGGATTGTGAGTCCAGAGCGAGTCCATCGCTTCGCCCGTCGCTCAGCCGGCTCGCCTCTGGATTTCTGCAAAGGAAGCCGCCGCTCTCGGCGGCACCGTGATCATCTGTCAGGACCGAAAATCGTCCTGTCCATTGCCATTGTCTCAGGGTCCTGATTTCTTTTGGCTGGCGCCGTTCCGCTGCTCCCGTCTTGGGGTGAGGTTTTCGGTGGTGAGCCTCTAAATGTGTGTTGTATATGATACAATGAATTTTTCGGGCCTCCACCTCTCACCCCTTCCCCCTCCCCGACCTTTACTTTGGACATCGGGGGGGGGCGGGGAGCAGCTGAAGCGCCGTCTGTATAACGTGTTATGCATGTGTTCTCCGTCTCAAGTTCTCCCTGTTCCCTCCCTCCCTTCTTTCGTCTTCGTACCTTTCTGCCTCCTCCTCGGTATTGGGGATTGTGAGTCCAGAGCGAGTCCATCGCTTCGCCCGTCGCTCAGCCGGCTCGCCTCTGAATTTCTGCAAAGGAAGCCGCCGCTCTCGGCGGCACCGTGATCATCTGTCAGGACCGAAAATCGTCCTGTCCATTGCCATTGTCTCAGGGTCCTGATTTCTTTTGGCTGGCGCCGTTCCGCTGCTCCCGTCTTGGGGTGAGGTTTTCGGTGGTGAGCCTCTAAATGTGTGTTGTATATGATACAATGAATTTTTCGGGCCTCCACCTCTCACCCCTTCCCCCTCCCCGACCTTTACTTTGGACATCGGGGGGGGGCGGGGAGCAGCTGAAGCGCCGTCTGTATAACGTGTTATGCATGTGTTCTCCGTCTCAAGTTTTCCCTGTTCCCCCCTCCCTTCTTTCGTCTTCGTACCTTTCTGCCTCCTCCTCGGTATTGGGGATTGTGAGTCCAGAGCGAGTCCATCGCTTCGCCCGTCGCTCAGCCGGCTCGCCTCTGAATTTCTGCAAAGGAAGCCGCCGCTCTCGGCGGCACCGTGATCATCTGTCAGGACCGAAAATCGTCCTGTCCATTGCCATTGCCTCAGGGTCCTGATTTCTTTGGCTGGCGCCGTTCCGCTGCTCCCGTCTTGGGGTGAGGTTTTCGGTGGTGAGCCTCTAAATGTGTGTTGTATATGATACAATGAATTTTTCGGGCCTCCACCTCTCACCCCTTCCCCCTCCCCGACCTTTACTTTGGACATCGGGGGGGGGCGGGGAGCAGCTGAAGCGCCGTCTGTATAACGTGTTATGCATGTGTTCTCCGTCTCAAGTTCTCCCTGTTCCCTCCCTCCCTTCTTTCGTCTTCGTACCTTTCTGCCTCCTCCTCGGTATTGGGGATTGTGAGTCCAGAGCGAGTCCATCGCTTCGCCCGTCGCTCAGCCGGCTCGCCTCTGAATTTCTGCAAAGGAAGCCGCCGCTCTCGGCGGCACCGTGATCATCTGTCAGGACCGAAAATCGTCCTGTCCATTGCCATTGTCTCAGGGTCCTGATTTCTTTTGGCTGGCGCCGTTCCGCTGCTCCCGTCTTGGGGTGAGGTTTTCGGTGGTGAGCCTCTAAATGTGTGTTGTATATGATACAATGAATTTTTCGGGCCTCCACCTCTCACCCCTTCCCCCTCCCCGACCTTTACTTTGGACATCGGGGGGGGGCGGGGAGCAGCTGAAGCGCCGTCTGTATAACGTGTTATGCATGTGTTCTCCGTCTCAAGTTCTCCCTGTTCCCTCCCTCCCTTCTTTCGTCTTCGTACCTTTCTGCCTCCTCCTCGGTATTGGGGATTGTGAGTCCAGAGCGAGTCCATCGCTTCGCCCGTCGCTCAGCCGGCTCGCCTCTGAATTTCTGCAAAGGAAGCCGCCGCTCTCGGCGGCACCGTGATCATCTGTCAGGACCGAAAATCGTCCTGTCCATTGCCATTGTCTCAGGGTCCTGATTTCTTTTGGCTGGCGCCGTTCCGCTGCTCCCGTCTTGGGGTGAGGTTTTCGGTGGTGAGCCTCTGAACAATTCTTGTAACTGTCGCCACTTTTGGGCACTCGCGCTGCCAGAACGCCATTCCCAGGCCACATTTGTGAGTGAATTGCCAGGAAGGTCAAGCGGGAGCCCCCTCCCTATGGGGCCCGCGGATCATGTTACTAATCCTAGCGGATCATCCAATTCTTGTAACTGTCCACACTTGTGGGCTCTCGCGCTGCCAGAACGCCATTCCCAGGCCACATTTGTGAGTGAATTGCGAGGACGTCTCAAGCGGGAGCCCCCTCCCTATGGGACCCGCGGATCATGTTACTAATCCGAGCGGGTCATCCAATTCTTGTAACTGTCGCCACTGTTGGGCTCTCGCGCTGCCAGAACGCCATTCCCAGGCCACATTTTGACTGCCCGGAGCCAACTGTAGGCCACTTCGTGTTCTTCGTGCTCCCAAAACACAATTCCCGGGCCACATTTTGAATGCCTGGAGCCAACTGTAGGCCACTTCGTGTTCTTCGTGTTCCCAGAACACCACTCCCGGGCCACTTTCTGAATGTCCGGGGCCAAAACAGGAGGGCGAGGTCGGGGGCAACGTAGGGAGCGGGGGGAGGGCCCGCGCCAGTGCGAGAAGAAATATACGCAGAAGAAACAGCCAGGACGCATCACCAACCACGAGGACGACGGTGAGGGCTCTTTCCAGATTCACCCAAAGGATTCTCATGTGGGGTCCTTCCGTCGGAGTAATGTTTTTGCTCCTCTTACTCTTCTGCTCTTGCTCATCCTCGCGACTGCAGGTTCGTTTTTCCATCAACCAAAGCTTCATTTTGAGACCCATCGCCGCCTGACCCTTCCTCCCGCTGATATCGCGCCGCCGCAACTACGCCATGCCTTTCAAATCAACGTTTGATCTTGCACTGAGTACGCCAAGAGCGCGCTTTCCGCCAATCGCCAAGAAACACCCAAATGGCCTTACAAGGTTCCAGGACGCCGTGCCGCTAGAAGATAGGCCCAGGGAGCCCCTAAGACATGACAAGACAACGGTCTCACCTCGCTACGCCGCGCTGGCAGGCGAGGCGTACACCGCCCCCCACCGCCCCCGCCCGCCACCATCCCACCCCGAACGCACGCCCATTCGGAAACGAATCAAACCTTGTTCGTTTGCGCGCGCGCACATCGTTCATCTGCTCACCTCGCTCCTCGATGCAATCGCCCACGATTTTCCCAGCCCCCTGCACGCTGGCATGTCAGCGCCGCCAGTCCGCGCGTCGCTCACCCCATCTCACGCACCATGCGCTACACCGAGACGCTAGAGCGACGTGCAGAGATCTGTATGCCTTGTCCTTGACATGCATCTTCAAACATGGTAGCACGCCGGCGCAGTAACAAAAAAAGATGGCACCGCAACTGGATACGACATTTAGATAAGCAACATGTTTGCGAGAACTGGTTCAATCTATGACTTGCTACGGAAGCATTGTTTCTCTCTTGGGCCACCCTCGAGCACCGTGACGGCAGAACCAACATCGCAGTCCAGTCAACCACCATCTACGCTGTAGTTATGCAGCGAAGAGCGCAGCTAGCGTGCCGAGGGGGAGGAGGCGAGAGGAGAAAGGTACGACGGCAGAGCAACAGCCCCTGCCGGGGAGGCACCGATGCAGCGCCACACCGCACAGCCACGGGGCCTCCAGCCCACGCTGCCCGAGCGCACGGCGGCGTCAAGCCTGCCGAGGACCGATGTCCGTCCGATGGCCAAGTAAGATCCGCCGCCCTGAAAAGCATTACGGTCGGGAGCTGTTGCATAGCGTGCCGCGGCGGCGCGACGTGCTGTGCCTTGCAAGCGGACAGCGTGTCGCTCCGCTCCGCGGGGCGCGAGAGCCTGGAAATGGGTCGCGACGCTGGTGCTGGCGACCGCGGCGTGGACAGCGTGTCGCACCGAAGCGCGGTGGGCCAGAACTGGCGATACGACATGCTAAGTAAAGGTTCCCGGCCGTATGTCAATGGGCGCCTCGTTGGACTGTCTACTGGGCCAGGGGGGGGTATCGAAAACTACTGGGAAGTGATTGGCCTCATTGGAACGCTCACCAGTGAGAGCTCTGGCAACTTGGGGAGGGGGACGGGGAGGAGGAGGAGCCAGTCGGAGGAGAGGGAGGTGGAGGAAGCAGGAGGAAAAAGAGAGGGCAGGAGGAGGAAAGAGGACAAGGAAGAGGAGGAGTAGGAGGAGGAGGAAGAGGAGGAGGAGGCGACACAAGAGAAGAGAGAGAGAGAGAGATAATGCAAGAGGAGGCACGGAGGAAGGATGAAGAAGGGATGAGAACGAACAGGAGGAGGAGACCCTGTCTGGCGTGGACCCCGCCAGGCCTGGGCGGCGGTGCCGGTGAGCCGAACCCGGCACGTGTTCCCGGTTTTGTCGACGTCGATACGGGCGCCGGACTGCTCCTGGGAGTCCCAGGAGGGGCAGCGCGCAACACACACACACGAACACACAACCTGCCACCCGCCTGCATCCCGTGAGATCCGACGTTGCAAAACAAATTCAACACCGAAATACCAACAAACGGCTGGAGCCCGGGACCCCATCGTTTGGCGACATTTTCGAGCCGGATCGATCCGTGATGGCCCCCGGTGCCCGAAGACCCGGCGAAAACGACCGTTGTGAAAAAAATGCAACGCCAGGATCTCTGGGCACCCACGCCCCCTCAACCCATTTTTGTTCCCAAAACAATGCGTGCAATTGGGGTTCTTCTTATGTTAGGCAACTGGGCCTCAGTGGCGGTCCCGCTGGCTCGTCGCCGCCCGTCGCCGCCGTCGCCTCTGGGCCCAGTGGCGGTCTGGCTGGCTCGTCGCCGCCCATCGCCGCTCGTCTGAGAGCGCCTGCTTGATCTGTCGTACCTGTTGACAGGAAATGGTGTCAATGCCGGTAAAGTGTAAGTTCCACTGGTGGTCTGCCACAAATTCAGTCGCCATTCTCCTTCGCCAGCCTCGGCCGCTTCAACCGAGTCCTGCAAAGTGGCAGGCTGCCACGATCCACCTGGAGTACCTCTCAGCACAGCCACGCGCTTACCAAATACTGGACCAGCCAGGCTCACATTGGTAGCATCTGGAGCGAGGTTGCCCAACCTGGCTGAGACAGGTGCTCTGAGGACAAGCACTCGCCAGCAAGGCGCCAGCGAACATCATGTCAGTAGCAGCTTTGCGGTAAAAACGTCACGGCCAGTCCATCTCATGGCCGAGGTTCGGTCACAAGAGGAGCCAGACCAAGCACCCTGAATGAATTCGGTAGTACCATTTGAATGGACAGCCTCTGTCATCCGCCCGCTGGTCAAATCGTCTGCAGAAGGTGCGACGACGGAGTGGAGCTCCCCAAGGTACCACGAAATGCTGTGCAGGGTGGGGGAGACGCATGCGGACACCGCCACTGAGGCCTTCGGTGGAACACCTTATGGGGCCACGAAGCGAGGTATTGGCTGGGGGAAACGCATGCGAACGCCGCCGCTGAGGACCTGGGTGGAAATCCAGAAGGCGCCTCGAAGCGCTGCACAGGGTGGGGGAACCGCATGCGGTCATCGCCACTGAGGCCTTCGGTGGAGATCCCTATGGGGCGACGAAGCGCTGTACTGGGTGGGGGAATCGCATGCGGACACTGCCGCTGAGGCCTCCGGTGGAGCTCACTTTGTGGCCACGAAGCGCTGCACTGGAAGGGGGAACCGCATGCGAACACCGCTGCTGAGGCCTTCGGTGGGGCCCCCTTTTGGGGCCACGAAATGCTATACTAGGTGGGGGAGCAGCATGCGAACACCGCCACCTGGACCCTCGGTGGAGCTCCCTATGGTGCCACGAAGCGCTGTACTGGGTGGGGGAGCCGCCTGCGAACACCGCCACTGAGGCTTTCGGTGGAGCTCCTTACGGGGCCACGAAACGTGCGAGGGGTGCCCCGACATAGGGGTGGCGGGCACGCATGTGGTCACCCCACTGCGGCCTTCGGTGGAGCTCCGTAGAGAGCCACGAGACGTGTAAAGGGTGTACCAATATGCATGCCTGGGACGCATGCGGGCGGCGCCACTGGGGCCTTCGGTGGGGTTACCTACGGTGCCACGAAACGTGTGAGGGGTGTCACGACATGGGTGGCGTGCACGCGTGCGGGCGGCGCCACTGGGACCTTCGGTGGAACCTCCCCATGGGGCCACGAACAATATAAGGAGCTTGCAGAAATTAAAGCCTGGAACGCATGCGAGCGGCGCCACTGGGGCCTTCGGTGGAGCTCCCTATGGGGTCACGAAACATGTGAGAAGTGTCCCGAAATGAGTGGCTGGGACGCATGCGAGCGACGCCACTGGAGCCTTCGGTGGAGCTCTTTATGGGGCCACGAACACGCGAGGGGTGTGCCGGAAAGAGCGGTTGGGACGCATGCGGGCGGCGCCACTGGGGCCCTCGGTGAAGCTCCATATGGGGCCACGAAGAGTGTGAGGGGTGTGCCGAAAAAAGCAGCTGAGACGCACACGGGCGGCGCCACTGGGGCCTTGGGTGGAGCTACCCAGGGAACCGCGAAACGCGTGAGATGTGTGCCGACATGCTATGCGGAGGGCAGAGGCACAGAGGGGGAGGAGGAAGGTGGGGGAGGAGGAAGGAGCAGACGCGGGGCGCTGTCTGCTCAAGACGAAGACCCAGCACCACAGGATGGTTGGGACAAACAAGAACCCCGTGCAGCAGAATGTACCAAGTACATAAGCACACGCACGTGCACACACATACACAAACACACACACACAGACACACACGCACACACACACACACCTGTTCTGCAGTCGTTCAAAACATCCGCCAACGTTTCCCTCGGAGCCTCTGGAGCCTCCAAATAGTCCCAAAACGGCCCAAGAGGTCACAAGCAAAGAGCGAAGATAGTCTAAGAAAGCGTCGACACTGCCCAGGATAGCGCCACGACGGTCCAAGATGGCTCCGACACTGCCCACGAGGCGCCCAAGACAGACCACGAGTGTTCCCAGAGAACCGCCGAGAGAGCCCCAAGAGGCGAACATTGCCCCATTCCCTTAGGAACGCGTGTATGTTTAGTAGACGTGCCTCTTTCGTCCCCGCGGCGTCCAAGACGGCCCAAGGGGCCCGCATGATCATCCCAAAATAACCCATAAGGCCCCCAAAGATGGCTCCAAGTTGGCACAGGAGGACCCAAAGAACACACAAGGGGCCCTCAAGACGGCCCAGGGGGGCCCAAGAGGACTTCACGAGGGCCCCGAGAGAGGGAATACGAGCTGACATTCCGAACCCGTACCACCCTGATGGGCCCAAGAGCCCCCCAAAACGCACCCGAGGCGCCCCCAAGAGGCCCCAGGCCACTCGGCGTCCCCAGAGGCCACAAAGCCCGCCAAAAGGCACCCGACAAGCATCCCAATATACCCTCATTTGCATGTTAGAAGCGTCCGTGCCACAACCCAGGCAGGCACTGTGGCGGGTTGGGCCGACGGCCACCGACGGCCACAAAACAACGTCCACGACCCAAAAGGGTTTCCACAACGGCTGGGGGAACACATGGCCCGATAGCGTGGAAGAGTTCTTGCCGCAACGCTCGGCCACATGGGCGGTAACGTCTACGAACGTGACAATATCTTACTCCTTCTGGGGTTGGCGGGATGGCGTAAGTCACTGGATGAGAAAAACCAGGGGAAAACAAAAAAAAAAAAAAAAAAAACGAACCCTAAGGTTTCTCAGCATACATCGTGCAAAATGTTTGCCCGCCCGCACGTGTTGAAATCATCGGGAAAATCGCGTTCCAACATGTTCATGTCACCACGATGTGCGCACGCGCGCCGCCACGCACGCGCGCCGAAACCCGTCCAAACCCCAGGACGTCTCAAAAAACATGCGAAGCAAACGACTGTTTGTTCGACAAACAATATGCCAGGTTCCTTGCCACTCCGCGCGCACAGTGCCCCACCATCACCCCCACCGGCGCCGCCTCATCACCACCGTCATGGTCGTCACCGTTCGTCCCAATTGCCGCAGTCTTCAATCAACCATCTCTCTTACCGACACATGGACATCATCATCGCCACCGTCGTCACTGACATCGGCGCCGTCATTGGCCTTCCCACCGTCTTCGTCATCATCGCCACCATCATCGTCACAATGATACCGCCGAGCCACCGACCTGCATTGAAGTGCCCGCGAAACGGCGCGGTTTTTGAGACGCGCTGGGAAACTCCCATGTGTAAGCGCCATCGCAACCGCATCGGTTGAGCCAAACCAGTTGGCCGCGGTGCGCGCGAGGTTACGCGCGCTAGCCCAGCCGCGGAGATGCGTCAAGCAGAGCCAAATAGTCACCGCAATCGCGGCCGCATGGGTTGTTCAAGACCAGTTGAGGGTGGGAGCGTGGGATGATTGCGCGAGCAGTGGAGTTGACGACTTCAGGTTCTGCAAGGCGGTTTTGCACCACAAAGATTGCAGCGCATGGACTGTACCACCTAGATTGCACCACATTGGCTGCACCACCTAGAATGCCCCGCAGACGTTGCAAGAGATCACTCTTTTGGGTCCACGCTGGCAAACATGGTTCCGACAACGGCCGAACCGATGCTGAGGGAGTCCGACGAGGACAAGGGCGAAGGCGAAACGCAGCAGCGGAAGTCATCGGTCGACGAGCGGCGACCGCAGCAAGGGGGAAAGGGAGCAGCCGTAAAGCCAGAGAGAGTGAGGAGACGAGGGCAGCGGCGCACCAGTGACCAGTGAAGGCATGCGCGGCCAGGCCCGGCGTCAGACGCTCAGAGGCTCATAGGAAGGAGAGATATATAGAAAGGGAGAGGGAGAGAGAAAAAGAAAGAAAGAAAGAAAGAGACGCGCGCCCACAAAAACACTTTTTTTTATCTGCAGGGCGAGAGCGAACCTCTTCCGCTGAAAGCTAAGCGGGACGCGCACAGCTTTAATTAGCAGAGACAGGGCGGAAGAAGGCGGGGCCTCACGCGGCCGGGATAGGGCGAAGCCCTGGGATCAGGCGGTGCCGAAGTTGATGTGCAGGAAAAGGTACACCTTGGAAAGGAGCCCGGTGGTGAAGTCCCGGGAGGAAGAAAGCCGGTGGTGGTGCCTCCGCGCCCACAAAAACACACACGACAATTAATTTCATGTGTCGTGCAATTGCGCTAAGCTGCAAGCGCCCCAGGACAAAGTGCCCGTCGAGGCACGAAACCCTGCAGAGCCGAAGGTAGCCAGAGCAGCGGATATGCGCTGACAAATACATACCCCCTTCCTCAGATTTAGTCCTCATTCTCGTCGTTCCGCTCATCCGCCACATCATCAGCATCATCATCATCATCATCATCATCATCATCATCATCATCATCACCATCATCATCATCATCATCATCATCATCATCATCAGCAGCAGCAGCAGCATCATCATCATCATCATCATCATCATCATCATCATCATCATCATCATCATCGTCATCGTCATCGTCATCGTCATCGTCATCGTCATCGTCATCGTCATCGTCATCATCATCACATCATCATCAGCATCATCATCAGCATCATCATCACCACCACAACGACCACCACAACCATCGCACCACCATCACCACCACCACCACCAATATCATTATCGCCATCATCGCCATAGTTGTCGCTACCTTCGTCGCCATCAACATGAACACCATCGTCATCGTCGACTTCAGCCCCGGTCACCTTAATCCTCCTGGGCTTCATCATAATGATCATCATCGTCGTCGCCATCATCCTCATCATCACCATAGGCCTCCGCCGCAGCATATATCAAGGAAGCCGGGCGGTCCTGGAACTCGCGCACCTTCGAGCCAGCAGAGCCGATGAGCACCCCGGAAACCTGGGCAACACACGCTCTTGCATCTCGCCCTGGAGGGGGGGAGAAGGGAGGAGCGAGGAGAAAGGAAGAAGGAGGAGGAAGGAGTAGGAGAAGAGGAGGAGGAGGACCAGTGCAAACCCAAGGCCCATCACCGATATTGCAAGAGAACCCTTCCTCCAAGCTCCCTCTTCATAGGCCCCATACAAGGATTCATCTTCAATGAGGGAAGCACCCCGTTGGAACACAAGTGTTTGGAAATCCTGAACTGAGCCAGAACATCACTCCTGGTACTTAAGCGCCACGAATCACCGTTACTGTTGCGTCTTATCGATCCTGAATCGTGCCACAGCACCATCTCTGGGACTTCTACACCACGAACCAACGTAACTGTTGAGCCGACATCGTGCCAAAACACCGATTTGGGAATGTCAACAATGAGAACCATTTTAGGAACAGGTCTTACAACGAATGCGCGCGGCGGTGAGGCGAAAGACGCATGTTGAAATGGAACCGCCCTCCAGCCGTGTAACGGTTGCAAAAATCTAAGACGAACGCGTGCAGCGCTAAGACGATACGTATATGTTGAAAGGAGCGCGCCCTCCATCCGTGCGCGGCGCATTTTGAAAACGGCCCGCCTAACAACCGTGCAACTGCTGCAGGGTCTTGAAAAGGAATGTCTTGAAAAGGAATGCGCAAAGCGCCAAATACGGAGCCACATTTTGAAAAGGACCCACCCTCCATCCTTGACACGGCTGCAAACATCAAACTTCAGGACCATTAGCGGTGAGGCAGTCTCAAACGAAACGCCCGACCAGCCCTATTGACACGCCTGGGGGTGCGGCAGGGATGATTTGTGTCCCCACAGGGGGTGGGATTTTGTTTACTCTTGACACCCCGCGCAGGAGCAGGAGCACAACCTCCCATCTCACTCACACACGCACACATTCACATCATCATCGTCATCACCGCATCAGCACCACTTACACACTCGCACACAGTCTCATTCTCCAACTCACTCACTCACCCACTCAGAACAACAACTATTACTACCACCACCACCACCACCACCACCACCTCCACCACCACCACCACCACCACCACCACGACTACTACTACTACTACTACTACTACTACTACTACTACTACTACTACTACTGCTACTGCTACTACTACTACTACTACTACTACTACTACTACTACTACTACTACTACTACTACTACTACTACTACTACTACTACTACTACTACTACTACTACTACTACTACTACTACTACTACTACTACTACTACTACTACTCATCAGCATCAGCATCATCATGAGAATCATCCTCAGCATCAGCATCAGCATCAGTAGCAGCATCATCATCACCATAACATCATGATCATGACCATCGTCATCGTCATCATTATCATCAGCATCAGCATTATCAGCATCAGCATCAGCAGCATCATCATCAGCATCATGATCATCATCAGCATCATCCGCATCATCAGCATCATCATCAGCATCATCATCATCAGCATCAGCATCAGCATCAGCATCAGCATCAGCATCAGCATCATCATCATCGTCATCGTCATCATCATCATCATCATCATCATCATCATCACCATCATCATCATTAACACAACACCATCGTCAGCAGAGCTTCGTCTGTGAGTGAAGTGCGTGGAAGTCTCAAACGGGAGCCCCCTCCCTATTTGGCCCGCCGATCACGTTTTCAATCCGAGCGGGTCACCGGAATCGTATAACTGTCGTCGCTCTTGAGCCCCCGAGGCCTGAAGCTGGAGGAAGTATCAGGCGGGAGCCTCGTCTGTGAGTGAATTGCGAGGAAGTCTCAGGCGGGAGCCCTCTCCCTATGGGGCCCGCCGCTCACGCTCAGAATCCGAGCGGGTCATTGGGATCCTGAAACTGTCGTCACTTGTGGTCCCTTGAGGCCTGAAGCTGAAGGCAGTATCAGGCGGGAGCCTCGTCTGTGAGTGAATTGCGAGGAAGTCTCAGGCGGGAGCCCTCTCCCTATGGGGCCCGCCGCTCACGCTCAGAATCCGAGCGGGTCATTGGGATCCTGAAACTGTCGTCACTCTTGGGCCCCTGAGGCCTGATTATGGAAGAAGTATCAGGCGGGAGCCTCGTTTATGTTGAGAACGGCCCACCCTCCAGCATTGAAATGGTTACGAAATTGTAGAACGAATGTGCGCGGCGCTAAGGCGAGAGCCACATGTTGCAAAGGAACAGCCTTCCGTCCGTGAAAGCCTTGCAAGTTTTTAAATGAATGTGCTCGGCGCTGAAGCGAGAGCCACAATTTGACAAGGACCCGCCCTCCAACCGTGCAACTGCTGCAAAGGTTTAGACATGAAGGTGACAGGCGCCAGAACCGGAGCCACATGTTGAAAAGGGCCCGCCCTCCACCCTTGAAGCCTGCTGCACACTTCAAGCTCCAGGATCACTAATAGTAAGGCAGTCTCAAACGAGAAGCCCGGCCCGCCCTACTGACACGCCAGGTGGTGCGGCAGGGCTGACTTTTGTTATAAGAGAAGAATTGGAGGAGGAGGAGGGGGAGGAGGAGGAGGAGGAGGAGCAGGAGCGAAAATGAGCCTCGTCCCCCGGCCTTCCATCCCCGATTCTGCCTCCGTTTCGGCCTCCGCCGTTTCCCCCTCCACGCCGCCCGCCCTCTCCGCCCACCCCACCCCACCGCCCCCATCCGCCTCCTCGCACGCTCCATTACACACACACACTCTCTCTCTCTCTCTCTCTCTATCGCTCTCTCTCACGCTCTCCCCATTCGATCCCCCCCTCGATCTCCCTCGCCCATCCCTCCCCCTCCCCCTCCCCCTCCCCCTCCCCCTCCCGCCGCCCCCTCCACACACACACACACACACACACACACACACACACACACAAACAAACAAACAAACAAACAAGCACAATCTCTATCCCTCTCTCTCTCTCTCTCTCTCTCTTTGGGGGGGGCGAAATAATTACCCGACGCGGAGATACCCAAATGTGTATCTGTTCGCCTGGACCTTTTCCGTTGCGATTGTCCGGGTACGAGGGAATCTGGTCAGAGTGGGCCTGAATAACAGAGACTTGGAGCGGGTGAGTCTGAGTGGGAGTTAGTCTGTGTGTGAGCGAGTCTGAGTGTGAGTGATTATATGCGAATGAGTGAGCATGGCGAAGCTCAGGATGAGCACGCATAAGCGTGAATGGTCTGAGCGTTCGAGTACGAGTATGAGTGCGCGTGTGGTCTGAATGTGAGTGGTCTGAATGTGACTGTGAATTTCAACAGTCTGGCTACATCTGAGTGTGAGCGGTCTGACTGTGAGTGCGGGTACGAGTCTCAGTGAGTCGGAGTGCGAGCATCGGCTCAGCATATTTGAAAGTGACCGGGTCTGAGTATGAGAAAGTCAGAGCGCGAGTCTGAGCGTGAGCGTCTCTGAGGATGAACGACCTGCGACGGAGGAGGGGAGAGGAAAGAATAGAGAGGAGGCACGTCAAAACATACGGTTTCAGCTCAAGGGCGATAGGGCCCCACGTAAAAAAAAACAAGAGACATCCTCAACATCTGTTTTGAACGGTCTTGCCAGCAAAACAGGCAAACCGCTCGAGAAATCCTCGCAATATGGTACCGTTTTGCTGGGGTGCGAAAGCCAGCGCCTCGCCCGAGACATCCTCAGTGTCTGCTCCGAAAGCGGAGGGCGTTAGGGCACAAAGCATGCAAACTGCTCGAAATTACCCCGCACTCTGGGTGCGAACGGAAGAGTGAGATGTAGGTTGTAACTTGGGAGACAAAACGTGCAAACAGCTCGAAACACTTCCGCGATCTAGGCGCGAACGGACAGGTGGGATACCCCCTGGCGCCCCCCCCCCCTGGGACTGCTGAATCCAGCGCCTCGCCCGAGGCATCGTCAGATTCTGTACCGCCATCATCATCATCATCATCATCATCATCATCATCATCATCAGCAGCAGCAGCAGCAGCAGCAGCAGCAGCAGCACCATCATCATCGTCACCACCACCACCATCACCATCAACATTATCATCATCATAACCATCATCGGCACCATCATAGCCAGCAACATCATCATCACCACCATCCTCAGCAGCAGCAGCATCGTCAACATCATCATTGATGCCACCAGCATCAACAATGCAACCGTCCTCCTCACATCCCCATCATCATCACCACCAACCATATCATCAGCATCGTCGTCGGCGCCATCACCATATCATAGCGAAGTAGCGACCCTGAGGTGCGACTCTGGGTGAAAACGAGCAGGAAAAAGAGCAGTGGGAGGACTCGGCGCGGTCGGAGTAATAAGCACTGACTGCGTGGAGCTCCTACCGTGTGCAAAAAATACTGCAGTCGCTTCTCGCTGAAGAACTCTGTCTGTGAGCACCTGGGTGTAACAGCGAGTAAGCGTGGACGACGGGCGTGACAACAACGACGGCGACAACGACGGATTCTGTGATTTCAGTGGGCATCTTCCAGGAGAAAATAGGGAAGCACAAGTGGAAGAGCGAGGGGGCACTGGACCACCAAAGGGGAGACGACTGTGTGAATCTAAGCATGAGTGATCTGACTGTGAATGCGTCTGAATGTGTACGAACCCGGGTACGATTGAGTGTGAGTGCTAGTGAGTCCAGGTATGAGAGTCTGAGTACGAGTGGGTCTGAGAATGCGTAAATCTGAATATGAGTGGGTCTGAGTGCGAGTGAGTCTGACTGTGGGTGGGTGAGTATCGATATGAATATAACGAGTACGAGTCTGAGTCTGGATGGCTCTGAATACGAGTGAGCTTGGCCACGCGTGAACCTGAGGGTGGGTGGGTCTGAGTGCAGGTAAGTCTGGGTGCAAGCGCGTCTGAGCATGAGAGTACGATGAGAGCGAAGCTGAGTCTGAGCGGGTCTGAGCACGAATGAGTCTGACTACACCTCGGCTGTTCGAGAGGCTTGTCTTGAGTTGCGGAAACGTCCTGGCGGCTCGATTGTGCTCGAGGCTGTGCCTTTGTGCAGCCTCGCGAGGCCCGCCAAGACAGCGCGGGCGACAAGGGACAGCGGTCGGCGAGCTGCTGCGAGCCAGCGCGGGCGACAGGGGAGCGGCTTCGATGATCTATTCCTTTTGGGTCGGCACGGTCAGGTGGGTGCCTCGCGCGGGCGCCCCTGGCGACGCCGCACACCCTGGCTCTCGAGTGAGCTGTGCGCGCAGCGCGCATCGCGCCGATCATGAAATGAAAAAAACAAATATGGCACGAATCCTCCCCAGGAGGCCCCATGAGGCCCCAGGTGGCTTCAAGACCTCAGGAGGCCCCAGGTTGCTTCGGGAGGCTACAGAACCCCCAAAAGGCCCCAAAAGGCCCCAGGAGGCCCCGAGAGGGAGGAAGCCCCGGAAGGTTTCAGGAGGCCCGGGGAGGCCACAGACTCAGGCGCAGAAGCGCACTCGTACTACTGAGACTCACTCACACTCCAACTTATCCACAGGTAGATTCACTTCCAGACCGCCAATACTCGAGCCCGTTTGCATTTTAAAACTCCTGCGCCTAGACACTCACGGCGGACAGGTCCATGCAAATAGATGCACAGATGGGGAGCTCAACGCAGCGAATGATTACCGACCGCGCCGACTCACTCACTCACTCACTCACTCACTCACTCACTCACTCACTCACTCACTCACTCACTCACTCACTCACTCACTCACTCACTCACTCACCTCCTCCTCCTCCTCCTCCTCCTCCTCCTCCTCCTCCTCCTCCTCCTCCTCCTCCTCCTCCTCCTCCTCCTCCTCCTCTTCCTCATGATGTGATGACAACAACGATGATGCTGCTGATGATGACGATGATGATGACGCACCACCGTGGAACAGTCAGGACCCCGTCGTGACTGATCCCACAGGACACAAACCGCCTGGATCGACCTTCATCGGGCCCGATCGCCTCGGGGCCTCTCACCAGGCGAGTCGTTAGGCGTGCCTTGGTGCTCACCGATAGCACATCAGTGTTTTCCCCTCTTTCTTCGGAGTGCGCTGCGTGAACTCCTGACATCTTGTCCGAAGCTCTTGCTCTGGGCCGCCGCGGGGGCTGCCCCAAGGCGGAGCCGCCAATGTCAGGGCGCTGCATCACGCATGTCAAAGCGTGTGTGCAGTCAGCGTCTCTCTGTTTGCGGGTGTGCAGACATAACGCTCCACGCTCTGATCGCCCCGTCCAGCCTCTGTTTTCCAGCCGGGGTCCCCGCGGACCGCGCCAAGGGAACGTTTCAACCTCCACCCCTGTTCGCACAGCGGCACCTCCCACCACATGAGATTGGCGCGGAGGGCGCTTGCAGCCCTCGCGCCAGACGGATGATCTCGGCTCGTCGAACTGTTGCGATCTCTCTAGCTCTCTTTCACTCTGTCTCTCGCTCTCGCTCTCGCTCTTGCGATCTCCCTCTCCCTCTCCCTCTCTCTCTCTCTCTCTCTCTCCCTTTCCCTCCTGCCCCTCCTGCCGGTGCAGCGCGGGGCCCTCCATCGGCGGACTCCCTGGGAGCCTGCTTTGGAAGGTCCAGATACTCCGAGTTGCCGTCCTGGCATGGCGAGGCGCGCCGCGGGCATCACGAAAGACAGAGAGAGAGAGAGAGAGAGAAAAAAAAAAAAAAAAAAAAAAAGAGAACGAGAAAAAGAAAGAGAGAGAGGAAAACAGAGAGAGAGAGAGAAGGAGAGAAGGAGAGGAGAGGAGAGAAAGAGAGAGAGAGAGAGAGAGCGAGCGAGCAGGCGCTGAGAGGATAACTGTAGAAGTGCTCAGCTCAGACACGAGTGGGGGTGGGGGAGGATGAAAAGGAGAAGGAGACGGAGAAGGAGAGGGAAGAGGAGGAGGAGGAGATGGAGGAGGAGGAGGAGGAGGAGGGGGAAAACACCGATGGCCAACTTGGCAGCACGCAGGAGCCTCAGGTGGGCTTCAAGACCTGCTGCCTTGGACGGCGAGATTTCAAACTCTGCCATTAGTTTGTGGTAGACATGCAAAGCCACAACTGTAGTTCTGTGCGCGTCGAAGCCGAAAAAACATGGCCATATTCATCTTCCTTGCCGAGGCCGAGGCGAGCGAGGGAGCAGGCAGGGAAGAGAGTGCGAGGAAGGGCTAGAACGTGAAGAAGGCGGGGGCAGGAGATATAGTGTGGTTAGCGATCGAGACAACCCTCACATCCCGAGAGACCAGAAGTCACCCACCCCCCGCTCAGAGACTTCAGATGCGCCCGCACCCAGGACGGCTGGGAGCGTGCCAGGATGGACCAGAGAGCAGACCAACGCTGGGTCATGTCGCCAAGGGAGGGGGATTCGACCTCTGACAGCCAGGACCTAACCAGACGGAGAAAGAGGGAAGGCAGGGCACCGGGGAAGAGAGCGGAAATTGGGGCCCTGGCGTACACTCGCTGGGGACGAGGGCGGCGCGCCTCCACGGCAGCCGCCTGCAGCTCCATCGTCGCAGCTTTCGACGCTGCTCGAAGCAGCGCGCACGAAACCTTTGGGATTGGGGCGGACTCGAGGGCATTGACAAGGTGCTGGCACGTGGCCTGAGGCTGCCTCCAGCAAAGCGGACTCCACAAATGGCGCAGATACAGAACAAATGTGCCGTGCCACACTGCATGCTCACCTAACTGGTGCGCCAGCTCGCGCGCGCGGCCAAAGGTGAGCTGGGCAAACCGCCACGAGGAAGCCTGGGCCAGGACCTGCATCGACTGGGGGCTACTGGCAGGAATCCTCCCATGGAGACTGAGGAGCTCAGACTTCTTAAACGTATTTGGCGGGAGCCTGAGAAGTTGATGCAAAACCCACGACTCTTTGGCGACGAGAGAGGGCGGGAGAGGTTTGGCTACGCCTCGGGTCGGGAACTTCGAAAAGCGGGGAGCAACTCGGGCCAGGAACTCACGAGCCCGCTCGCGCAGCTCCTCTGATGGGAACTCCAACAATTGCACGACGGCGCACTTTTTCTCTCGTAGCAGTAGGGAGGCCGGGGAACGTGCAGCCTCGAACGCGGGAGCCAGTCGACCAGCCTCTCGAAGTACAGGCCAGACCACGCCAAGATCATCAGCACGGGCTCCTGCCTCACGGCAATCAGCTCGAGAAACACACGCAGGGACTTCGCAAAGGTGATGAATGCAGGCATCGAACGTCAAAGCCCGCAATGTCCTGGACATCGGGCAGCCCTGCGCCACGCCGGCAGAGACATGAAAGAGAAACTCTTTGCTGTCCCCCACCCAGGCCCAGCTTTGCATATCATGGTAGAGCGCCCAAATGGCACGCAAGTAGCCGACCGGCAGCTGGTGAAACTCGAGAGCCGACGCCATCCACGCCCACCTCATGGAGGGAAGGCCGCGCGCACGTTGAAGGAGAAGAAGCACGGAAGCCGCCAGGCAGCCTCTTCTTGGCCATCTGCCATCCTCGCCATAGCGTCAAGCTCCACAATGTGAGATGTGAACTGACGACCCCGAAAAGAGCCGCGCTGGATGGGGTGGCATCGCTCCTCAGCGACATTCCTGAGCTGGAGGTTGACCGCTGCCGCTATGGCATTCGAGTCTGTGTTCTTCAATGACAGGGGAGCGTGGAGCAACAGGCGACGAAAACAGGTCCAGCAGGTCCTCGGGGCGCTCATCCCTTGGAATGAAGCACATCAGATGGTGGGCCCACGACACTGAAGTTCTCCAACAGCACGAGGTAGAGAGACTCAACGGCATCATCATGGGCCACACAGGCGCGATAAGGCAGCCGAGCAGGGCCAGGAGCACTGGGCTTGCCACGCTGAAGGCATCTTACCAATGCTTCACAAGAGGGTAACTGCAGGTCAGGAGAATCGTAGCAGGGAAGATGCGCTGCTAGGTACGTGTCCATCTAATGCCGTGGACGAGTTAGCTTAGCTCGGAAGACCTCGCCCCAGTGACCTCGAAGGGCAGCCGCCATTCCCTTCGAGGAGCGGGCCGAGGGGGCCGAGAAAGTAGGAGTTGGAGTGGACGAGGAGGAGGAGGAGGAGGAAGAGAAAGAGTAGGAGGAGGAAGAAGAAGACGAGCCTTGGGTCCCTGGAGCCCTGCAGAGGCCCCTGGAGGAGGCCTCTAGAAGCTCAACAGAAATGCCCAAAAACATTCAAATGCCCAGGGACGTATCCAACCCATGCGAGACAATTGGCAGCATGAACGGGCCACCAAAAAAGAATGCACGCCTGAAACGGGAATACTGCCCCATGTTAAACCTGCATGGGTAGGTGGCTACATCCGAACCCTACCCCTACCAACCATCGATTTGTCCTCGATAGATGGGAGACGAGAGTAGGGTTGGAACGTCGCACAAGTTCGACGAATTCCGAACCCTGCCCCCGCTGCCCAACGGATTGCATAAATCGTTGATCGGCGAGGGTAGGGTTCGGGTTCGCCACCGAATGGGGTGGGACCTGTGCGTTGTACGCCCTACGGGGCCGATGCGAGGCGACATCATCATTGCCTGGCAGCAAAGTGGCGATTGCCGCGCGCCTGGCAGCATCCAGGGACGGCGATGTCTCGCCGGACCCGCGTGGGGCGCCACCCCGCTGGACCGTGTTATGTCGCCCCGCTCTATGGACGGGAGGCTAAGAAAGGCTCGGGACGTTGAAGCCTGGAGACCCAGAAGTGGATAGCGTGTCGCTCCGACGCGTGGTGGGCCAGAACCAGCGGAGCGACACGCTATCCAAAAAATCCCAACCGTAGAGCCCCGCAGGACGTCACTCCGCTAGACCTTCCAGAAGCTCATGGAAGCGGCGACGTTTCCGCAGCTGGTCTGGCTTGGGTCATCGCAAGGCGTCACCGCCCCATGAGCGTAGGTGTTTTAGCAGACTAGCTCTTTCAAACCTCAAATTCCCTGGGTGGGGAAGGCTTACTCCTCCTCCTACCCCCTCCCCAGGGTTCTGGACTTGTGAGGTTGCGAGGCGGTGGGGCGTCGAAAATGGCCCCAGATATGATAGAGGCCCTAAATAGCCCAAGATGGCGACCAAGATTACGAAATGGCCGAAGACGGTCCCAGATAGCCCGCGATGTTTGACGTCTGGGAAGGAGGAGGAGGAGGAGGAGGAGGAGGACCAGTGTAAACCCAAGACTCATCAAAGATGCTGGAATAAACCCTCCCTCCAAGCTCCCTCTCCACGCTCCCTCTCCATAGGCCCCTACGAGGGTCCATTTCCAGTTAGAGAAATGCGCTGTAAGGGAACAAACGTGTGAAAACCTGAAGACACCATTCTCATGACTTCAACGCCACGAGCCAACCGGACTGCTGCATCTTGACGATCCTGATCGTGCCAGAACACCATTCCTGGGACTTCAACACCGCGAATCCGCCGGCCCCCTTGCGGGGCCATCAGGCTGCGAGGATTAAGGTTGCTGCTCCCTGCACCAGTTCCAGCTTCCAGTTTCAATTGTTACAATACTGCTCTCTGCTTCCTACTCTTTGAGCCGAAAAGTGCCCTGGCTAGCGTCCCCCAGGAGGGTTCTCAGAATTCCTGGGGGGGGCGTGGGACACGTAAGAATACGGAAGATTCGTGCCCACGAGGCTATAATCCCTCCCTCGTAAGTTACACAAAGTTCGCGCCCCCGAAACCAGAATCCCTTATGAATTACGCCACATTCGCGCCCCCGAGGCAACGATCCCTTGTAAATTACGCCACAGTCGCGCCCCCGACGCCAGAACCCCTTGCAAATTACGCAAAATTCGCGTTCCCGAAGCGACGAACCCTCATAAATTGCGCAGCGGGCGCGCCCCCGAGGCCACGAACCCGCCCCGTGGAGGCTGCCGAAAAGGCGCCCCCCCTCCAGAGCAGAAAGAACTATAATTTTCCAACGAAAACGTAGAGAAAAACTAAAAATGTGCTCCGCTGGTATTGTTTTGCCCCCCGCCGTTTCTTGAAAATTCTGCGGTGGGCTCCACACTCGCGCCCCCCAGGCCACGACCCCTCGTAAATTACACCACGTTCGCGCCCCCGAGGCCACGATCCCTCGTAAATTACACCAAATTCGTGCCCCCGAGGCCACGACCCCTTCGAAAATTACGCCACATGAGCGCCCCCGAGGCCACGATCCTTTGTAAATGACGCCGCAGTCGCGCCCCCGAGGCCACGCGATCCTTACTGAATTACGCCAAATTCGCGCCCCCACGACCGATCCCATGCAGATTACCCCACATTCGCGCCCTCGATGCCACGATCCCTCATAAATTACGCTGGATGCGCACCCCCAGGCTACGAATCCACCTCGCGGAGGCTGCCCAAAGGCGACACTCCTTCTCCTGAGCAGAAAAACTGCAATGTCCCCAAATACTGCCTGAAACAATCAATCCCCAGCCGTTCCCAGAGCGCTTCCCATGAACAACTGGAGGAAAATGCTCTAAGAAGACAACAAAGCATTCAAACATGATTTCAGAATCTCGATATGTTTGGCTCATCGCCAGGCGCCCTAGCATGACGCTCCCGAATGTCATCAAGACGGTGCCCAGACATCCCAATATAGCTCTGATGTATCCCATTATGATAGAGAGGGGGCCGGCGGCAGGGGGCGAAGCCCTTACTGATCAACGAAACTGTTGCGCCTTGACGTTGCCGAACCGCTCCAAACCACCATTTCTGGTTCGGTAACCATGAGCATCAACGAAACTCTTGCAAATGTTGAAAACGAATGTACGTGGCCCTTAGGCGAGAGCCACATGATGAAAACGACCCGCCCTCAATCCGTGAAGCTCTTGCAGACTTGTTACGGTGAATGTGCGCGGCGCTAAAGCGAGAGCCGCATGTTGAAAACGAACCGCCCTCAACCCGTGAAGCTCTTGCAAACTGTTTACGGTGAACATGCGCGGCGCTAGGACGAGAGCCGCATGTTGAAAACGACCCGCCCGCAATGGGTGAAGCTCTTGTAAACTTGTTGCGAGGAATGAGCGCGGCGCTCAGGTGAGAGCCACAGTTTGAAAACCACCCGCCCACAAATCGTGAAACTCTTGCAAATATTTCAGACGAATGTGCGCTGCTCTAAGGCGAGAGCCACATTTTGGAAGCGGCCCTGCCTCCAGTTGTCGCCAGATTTCAAGCTCCAGGCTCAAACATGGTAAGGAAGTCTCAAGCGAAACGCCCGGTCCAACCTTCCGACTGGCCCTGGGGTGCGACAGGGAGTGGAGTTTTTCGTAAGGAAAAGGAATGGAACAGGAGGAAGGGCATGAGGAGAAAAAGCATGAGGCAGAGCATGAGGAGAAGAGGAGGAGGAGTTATTCATAAGGAAAGAGAAGGGAGAAGGAGGAAGGGCAGGAGGAGGCGGAAGCGGAGGAAGAAGAAAGGAGGAGGAGGAGGAAAGGAGGAGGCACCGCGTTCAACTGCTGCAGGGAGCGATGCCCAGGCCCATTCATCAAAGTGTGCAGGGGAGGACGGGGAGGCTGGGGAGCACGCCAAACACGAGCCGAGGCCTGCACACCCCGTGCGGCAAGATGCCCGCCGAGAAGCGTCCAAAGGCCTCGCTCCGCGGAGCCGCACGAGCAGCGCGGAGGCTTTCTCTTGCCATCGCTCGGACACCCATTCCCCGTGCATTTGTTCGACTTCGTGCGTGATTTTTGTTCCGCAAGATGGTCCACTGTGCTGCTCGATGGTCCTCGCCGAGGAAACAGTGCACACGTCCGAGCGATGCCGGGTGCATCCTCCTCGGCGCGATGCTGGCACGAGTCCGCGCAGCGCGCAGGCACACTCGCGACTTGGAGCGACTCTTCCGCGGAGCCGCCCGAGCAGCGAAAGCCCGCCGAGGGTGCCCGCCCTTGCCGAAGGAGGGTTCCCAATCCCCATCAGCCCATATACCTAGAATATCTCTGCAACAAGACCCCAAGCCACGCAATTCGGACATGAAGCTGGACCCTGGTGCTGTTGGATCCGGCGGCCTATGCTGCCATGTTGCCCTCATCACCACTGTCGTCATCATCACTGTCGTCATCATCATCACCCTCTTCCTTATCCTCATCCTCATCGTATTCATCATCCTCAGCATCATCATAATCGTCGTCATCATCACCCTCTTCCTTATCCTCGTCTTCATCCTCGTCATCAGCCTCAGCATCATCATCCTTACTGTCATCATCACCGTCACCATCATCATCATCATCATCATCATCATCATCATCATCATCATCATCATCATCATCATCATCATAACCATAATAATCATCATCATCATCATCATCATCATATCATCATCAGCAGCAACATCGTCATCGTCATCATCATCGACAGTATCACAATCACCATCGCCATCGCCATGACCATCATCATCAACAGCACCCTCAACATCACCATAACCATCAGCATCATCAGCAGCATCAACATCGTCACCAACAACAACGAAAGCAACTACAACAACAAAAACAACACCAATAGTAATAACAACGACCGCAATCACAACATTATGTTCAGCATCATCATCATCATCATCGTCCTCCTCCTCCTCATCATCATCATCATCATCAGCGGCAGCAGCATCCTCGCAATCATCACCACCATCGTCATCACCATCACCATCAGCATCGCCATCATCAGAAGCATAATCAGCATCATCATCAGCATCAGCATCCACATCATCATCAGCATCAGCATCCACCACCACCGTCATCATCATCGTTTTCATCATCATCATCATCATCATCATCATCATCATCATCACCATCATCATCATCATCATCATCATCATATTGATCATCATCATCATCAGCAGCAGCAGCAGCAACATCATCATCATTATCACCATCACCATCACCATCACCATCAGCATCCCCCTCCACGACGCCCGAGGAGGCCAGGCATGGTGGTGCGGCGTCGGCGGGAGCGCCTCTATCTGCATCGCGATGGTGAGCAAGATCTTCTTGGCGGCCTCTACCGCAGACGGCTCGCCTCGGCGCGCGCTGGACCCCACGCCCCTCCACGCGGGAACGACGAGGAGGAGGAGGAGGAGGCGATTTCCACACACTCAAGAAGCCCAAGAAGGAGGAGGAGGAGGAGGAAGAAGGGCCCTGCACTCCACTTTGGGACTGGGGCCGGCACTGCAGAGTGCGCCATGCGCCCCCAGGAGGAATTCCTGGACGCACGCTCTGGCCGAGCTGGGTGCCGAGGTCAGGTACTGAGACGAACCCATAGGCGAAATCACCGCGCTCTTCAGAAAACACAGATGCAAGACAGTAAATAGTAATCTAGGAATGCAGTGAAGTCAACGCACGGAAGATTCGGCGGAGCTTATCTGGGGACTGGCCGCTGGCCACACAAGCTAACACCATCAACCATCACCAGACGAGCCCCGCCACCATTGACATGCCCTCGCCTTCGAGGAGCCACCAAAAGAGCAGTTCACCGCTGAGCCGCCGTGGCACCGCTCGCCTGTCTGCATGCGGCGCGCGCCACCGCTTTAAGTGTGTCGCGCCGACAGTCGCTCCAGAGGCCCTGGCAGTGCCCCGGCGGCCTGCTCACGGTGCGCGACCCCTAGCCCCCCCCCTGTGCTCATGGACGTGAGTCTCCAGCCCGTCCGCTGTCCGTCACCTGGCCACCATCTCGAGGGGGTCGCTCGGCTGCAGAAGCACCAGCTCAGCGCAATCTCGGCCCCCCAGCCGGCCGTTCACGAGGAACTCCTTGCTCATCATCTTCTCGTGCCACTCGATTAGCATCCGCATCGTTGAGGTGGGCGTCTTGAAGCCGTCCACCTCCAGCCGCTCCGCGATGGACACCAGCGGGCAGAGCCCCCAGCCAATGTCGTCCGTGACCACGCGGTGGTTCGGGTCAGGCGAGACGCCGAGCTCAGTGCGAATGACGGGGGTCTTCGCCATTGAGTAGGCCTTGTTGGTTGCTATCATCCTGGCCATCGAGGTCTTGTCTGCGATCTGGTCCCCGTACTGCTTCAGCAGTCGGTCGCGCAGCGGGATGACGTGCGTGCAGCCCGTGGCGCCAGTCGCCTCGAAGTAGGCGTTCTTGAGCTGCTGGAGCTCCTCGTCGAGCACCTCTAGAACATGCCCCGCGACCTCGTCCATGCCGCGGTAGAGCCACTCGTTGGTATCCTCAATGGGCGTTCCATGCCAGTTGCGGAACAATCCCCAGTAGCACGCAGGGTGGATGATCTGGTTCGCTGGATTGAACACGACGGGGCAAAAGTCGGGAAGGAACTCGATCACTGGCTCCCACTTCCCCGTCTTCTGCATGACGAACAGAGGCTCCACCTCTTTCTTGATAAAATCCTGATCCAAGTTTATTGTCGTCACGTCGATGGAGGCCTTGCCACCTACGATAGCGGCCTCCTCTCCCTTGGTGGGTGCCCTGCAGAGCCATGGAATGTTCCTGAGCGCGAAGAAGCGAACATCTGACCCGAAAATGTTCTTCGCGAGCACGTGCACCAGGCCCTGTGCGAAGATCATCCCCACGACCGTCTTTCGAGTGTCGAAGTAAGGCTTGATCTTTACGAACGTTTCCTTGGTGTGGTTCACCGGGCCAGTCCAGATCACGATGTCCGACTGCGGGATGAGCTCCGCTGGGTCGTCCGACACCTTGTACAGCTTGCCTTCCTGTACTTCACCGCTGGGGAAGCGCACGCGCGGCGTCGAGTTCTTCCAGATCTCAGGCTTGCTCGTGAGCAGCTGGGTCCGCACGCGGCCCCTCGTGTTCTCCTCGAAGAGGGCGGCGCACACGTGGCCACTGTTGCCTGCCGCGATCAGCGTCACCACCACCTGGCCCCGCTCTTCGGCGGCGGTGGCGGCGGCCGAGGCAGCAGCCGGCCTCTGCTGGGCGGCGAGCCCAGGGGGGAAGTGAGAAGGAGAAGGCCTTTTCAGAAGGCTCGGAGGTCCCCCGGCCTTCTGAGAAGTTTGCAACGCCTCCCCCGAAGACACAGGAAACCTCTGAGAAGAGCCGGGGGCTTCTGAGAAGCCCCGCCACCTTTGAGAAGGCCTTCTGCTTCTCACTTCCCCTCCTCGCTCGCCGCTGGTCTGCGGCGCCGCGCCCGCGCTGGGCGCGTCCGCGTGGGCCAGGTGCCCGGCGAGCCGCAAGACGCGCTGCATCGGCCGCGCGCGGGAGGGGGGCAGCTGCCTGCGTGCGTGCGGCGCGGCCTGGCACCAGCACTTGCCTTGAGCCAAAATGGTTACGGAAGGGGGAGGAGGAGCCGGAGGAGGGGGCACATACGTTTCCACACACCCACCCCCGCACACACAGACACACACACACACACACATTGCTTTACGTCGCAGCGCGGCAGAGGCAGTCCGCACGCGTGCTCGGGCAAGCCGGATAAGCACACAGCGCGGCAGAGGCAGAACGCACGCGCGCTCGGGCAAGCCGGGTAAGCACACACACACACACACACACGCACTTACACACATACACACACACACACACACACACACACACACACACACACACACACACGCAGAAAGTCAGGCGACGAGACGCGCGCGGCTGGCCCAGGTCACTCGGCGTGGAGAGACTAAATCCGCCCATGGGGTGTCGACGGCATCACTCGCGAGGGGGCAGTCGCAAGGGGAGCAGCGATGGTGACACGTTTTGGACGCCGACCGCGCGCGCGGCGACTCGGTGGTCAATTTGGACAGGCCCGCGGCCAAGACTAAAGAGGCGGCGTGAGCGAAACAGCAGCCGCCCAATTCAGTGCAGGACATGACGGGCCGGCGACACAGCTAGGGCGACTTACGTACACGCAGACACACATAAACACACACTCCTATGTTTTACTATGTTTTGCTCGGCGGCTCGGTGCGCAGCATCCTCGCGGCACCTCGCGCTCGGGACTGCTAGTGACACGAACACACGCAGTCACACACACACACACACACACACAGTCACACACAAACACGCACGCACGCACGCACGCACGCACGCACGCACGCACGCACGCACGCACGCACACACACACACACACACACACACACACACACACACACACTTTCCGGGCGCATGCGGCTGGAGCGATGAGCTACGCGGGCGATCCAAACACACACACACACACACAAACACAAACACACACACAAACACAAACACACACGCGCGCATACGCACACACGCACACAGGCACACGCACACGCACACGCATGCGCACACGCACATGCGTGCGCGCGCGTACACACGTACACACACAAACAAACACACACACACACACACACAAACACACGCCCACACACGCACACACACACACACACACGCACACACACAAACACAAACACACACACACACACACACACACACGCATCACACACGCATCACACACACACACACACTGTTTGGCGTTGCGGCCACGCACGCGACGGGTCGGCGCAGGCAGTCGATCGAACGCGATCATACACACACACACACACACACACACACACACACACACACACACACGTGCGCGCTGCGAGCAGAGGCGGCCATACTGCTGTTCTAAAGCGCGCGGGGCTCTCCTGTCGGCTCGCTCAGGCACTTCTCGATCACCTGGAAGACCTCGTCGGTTTCGAACAGGTCCGCCACTGGGCAGCCCAGGGACATCTCCTCGCGCACCTCGGCGCTCAAAGCCAGGCCCCCGAGGCGGGCGCGCAGCCGCTGCCGCGGCCCGCCCTCGCGGAGGAGTTCCGGGAATCGCGGCACCTGGCGCGCGAGCACCGCCAGAGCCACTGCCGCGGCGAGGTGCCAGTACTTGGGCGGCGAGTCGCCGGATCGCCCCGCCTCCTCGCCCACCTCGGCGTCGTGGGCACCCAGCAAGCGCGCAAGCGCGAGATAGGCTCTGGGATGTAATGCGATCGCGGCAGCGGCTCGGAGGCCAGCGGCCGCAACGCAGCCGAGGGCGTCCGCGGCACAGCCCTGCGCCCGCATGCTCTCGGACCCGAGGGTCTGCACCATCACGGCAAAGGCGTCGGGGATCGATGCAAAATCGGGGCAGCTCTCCCTGTCCCTGCACATCACCTCAATTATGAACTCCGCCGCACTATCACTCAATCTGCTCTGCCTGTGCAGATCGACCCACGCGCTCTGGCCTCCTGCACACCGAATTCGGCACAGGACTCTGCGCTGCCCCAGACCAGGTCTTCTAGCGCGCAGAGGGCGTCGCTTCTGTCTCCCGCGCGAAGCCTGCGAACCATCAATCCGACGAGACCGACCGCACGCAGCTGCTCAAGGTAACGCTCATCGGCAACGCGCGTGACTTGATGGAACAGGTCGTCAAGGAGTGGTGTCCGCAGGCATGGAAAATCGCTCTGGGCAAGCTCGACCAGCCAGCACACAACGGCCCTGACGAGAGAAGGGTCGCCGTCCATGGCACCCTTCAACACCTCCGCGCCGAAGATGCACTCCTTCTCGGAGGCGTTTGCCCACTGGAGCAGCGTCAGCACGACTGGGGCGACGCCCACAGCGCGGGGGATGCACCCAACCTCTGGAAACTTCTGGCTCAGCCCGCCCAGGAAAAGCAGGCAATGCTCCCGGACGCAGGGGGCCCCGCCGTGGCGCTGCAGCACTGCGGCCAGCGCGGCCGTGCGCAAGGCCATCAAGGGCCCCCGCAGGCCGTGGACGAGGGCCAGGGGCTCGCGGTCGAGGCCTCCCCGCCGGGCCCCCCGCTGCGCAGCCTGGCGCGCCCGTGTCGCCGCCGTCGCTGGACCGTCGCCCCAGGCGCGGGCCAGCCACGACGCGGCTGAAGGCGGAACCTGGGCGCGCCCTCCCAGGGTCAGGCGCCGCCGCCCAGGCCTCCGCGAGCGCCTCCAGGCCTGGGGCGCGGCGGCGCCAAGGGCGCCGGCGAAGCCGAGGAGCCGGCTCTTCACGCCCGCCCTCAACAGCAGCAGCAGCAACATCCGCAGCAGCAACAGCCGGCGAGGCTGCTCCGCCTCCGAGGCGGCGCCCCCGCCGCGCCAGCACCGCAGCCGCTCCAGGAGGTAGGCGCCGCCGAGCTCCAGCTCCTTTAGGCGCGTCGCGGCCAGGGCCCTGGTTTCCTACAGGCGCGCGAGCAGGACAGCGCGCGCCCGACACGCGTCGCGCGATGCCGCAAGGACTGGGGAGCAGCCCGACTGTGGAACCATCGCATCACGCCGCGCTGAATGCTCGAGCAGACGCCTTGAGCCAAATGCGAAGGACACACCCGCACACACTTCCCCGATGCGGCGATGGCCTGTAATCAATAAGAAGACAGGGCAACACACACACACACACACACACACACACACACACACACACACACACACACTTTTACCTAGGCAGCCTGCCGGTCTGCGGCCAGGCAGTGGCACGCCGCATAGACCGGCTAAGCGAATGCAAGCAGGCGACGGCAGATGGCGGACCAGGAGACGGCCAGGGAGAGAAGCGAGCCACGAGGGCGCGCTGGCAGGCCAGGGCGGCGGCAGCGCTACGTCGCAAGGCATAGCAAAGGAAACCACCGGCTGGCTGGGCAAAATACACGCACAATTTCCCAAACGCCGCCATGAAGGGGCAATCGCGGGTCGGATCGCAGCGGACCACGTGAGCCATGAAATTTGGCCAGGACGCTTTGTTTGAGGCAACGGGCGCAGCCGGGCATTCCCGGTCAGATGGAACAAGCAGGCAAGCGCATGAAAACAGGAGCAAGGGAACGAAAGAGGACAAGCCCGAGAAAGGCGCGCCAAAAACCGCGGCCAGCGAGGGAGAGATCGGCCAAGCAACCAGGATGCCAGTCGACAGCCGGATACTGCCGCAGCCTAGGCCGCCATCGCACTATCGGCGGTGGCGCGCGCCTTAGAACGCGGGGAATGTCGAAACAACCACGCATCAGCGCAAACCCACTGAAGCCAGTGACGGGGCGCCGCGCAGGCGATGCGCCAACTCTCTCGGCGCCAAGCGGGGGACAAGGGCCCAGGTCGGCGAAGCCCTGGTTGGCGGCCCGGGGACAAGGCCTTGACCGCTGAGCGGCCTGCGAACGACGGGGCGCCCCCCGCCGCCGCAGCCAGGCCTCGAAGACGCGTGGCCGCGCGGGCAAACGGGCCGGCAAGAAGTGGGACCTTCGGCCGTGGTGATGGCCCAATACGGGCGTATGATCACGCATTCAACAATGGGCGGCGAAGCACGCGCGGCAGACGCGCCGGCGCCAGCGAGCGCGGGGGCGCGAAAGTGAGCGGCACCCCCGCTGTGAAGCTGCGCATGCTGCAAGGCGGACACGACAGCGGAGAGCGCGACAGGCGTCAGCACCGCAACAGGCGGGCGCGCCCCACGCAGAAGGGCAGCGCCCTGGCGAGGCAAGGAGGCGGCGCACCTGAAGCAGCGGGACCGTCAGGGATGGTAGATTAGTCGGTCTGCTGTGGAGTCGGACCGCGCGCGCTACGTGGTCGGACTGAGGAGTCGGGCGGCCGTGGAATCGCCCTGGCGCGGCCGCGACGGCCGGTCGCGCGACTGAGGTCGGCGCGCCAACAGCGTCACCGAGGGCCGTCCCTTGGAGCCACCATGGCCCCCCAAATACCCGCCGAATTCCAAAGGAGTTGCGCCATAATCTTTTACTTTTTGAAAGCATGCAATGCTGGGCGCGCAGGCCGGCCGGCAACGCCCCCTGACGAGCATCCAGTTCGAACCAAACATCACCGCGGCCGTCGCCATCGTCACCGCCACAACCACAAAAGAACAAATGTTACAATCATCATCGCGCTGAGGGCAGGTCAGCCCGCGTCGCCGCGCGTCGACTCTTTGCCGCAGCCGAGTGCTGCGAGCTCCCAGCAGCATTCGTCGACAGCTGTCAAAAGCAAAACCGCCGAAATGGTCCTTGAAAGGGCCGCCAGGAAAGCCGCCGAAAGGGCCACCGAAATCGTCGCCGAAATTGCCGCCGAAATTGCCGCCGAAGTCGCCGCCGAAATCGCCGCCGAACTTGCCGCCGAACTTGCCGCCGAACTCGCCGCCAAACTTACCGCCGAAATTGCCGCCGAAATTGCCGCCGAAATAATTGTGAACTCCGCCAAAATAGCCGCCGAAATTCAGCCGCCGAAATCGCCGCTGAAATTTTAGGTCGCCCAATTTTCATTGCCCTGAACCAAGCGAAATCATTGCTGCATTAAGCGCGATGACGCCGCGGACATAGGCATTGAGTCACAGCCAAGGTCAAATTCGGCTTCTTTTCGACGGCGCAATCTGGAATTTCGGCGGAAATGTTGGCGGCAATTTCGGCGGCGATTTTGGCGACGATTTCGGCGGCAATTTCGGCGGCAATTTCGGCGGCAATTTCGGCGGCAAGTCCAGCGGCCCTTTCGACGGCCCTTTCGGCGGCCCTTTCGGCGGCAATTCCGGCGGCCCTTTCGACGGCTCTTTCGGCTGCCGTTTCGGCGGCGCTGCTTTTGCCAACTGTCGACAATGGCTGCCGGGAGGTCTCGGCACTCGACGGCCCCGGCGGGCCCTGAGAGGGCCCTCGAAGGGCCTCGTCAGAAAGCGTCTGCGAAGTAGCTCAAGCCACGCGCGAGCTGCTTGCGATAGCATGCGCAACGCGCAAAATGAATGCCTCGCATTAAGCATGCGCCAGCACGGTCTAAGGTGCGCCGGGAAGCCACCGCGCGGCAGGGCGCGCCTGCACACTGAAACCCTAAAAAAACATGATGGACCCACGAACCCGGAAAGGGATATAGACATGTGCAGCATGGTCACGTTTTCACGATACACAACTGGGCGACACCTCACGAAACCTCCCACGAGACACCCCGCGAAACATCCCACGAGACACCTCACGAAACATTCCACGAGACACCTCACGAAACATTCCACGAGACACCCCGTGAAACATTCCACGAGACACCCCACTCAACCAGACACCCCACGAAACATTCCACGGGGGTGCGACTGGGTGTGGTCGTGCTGGGGTGTGGTCGTGCTGGGGTGTGGTCGTGCTGGGGAGTGGTCGTGCTGGGGTGTGGTCGTGCTGGGGGGTGGTCGTGCTGGGGAGTGGTCGTGCTGGGGAGTGGTCGTGCTGGGGTGTGGTCGTGCTGGGGGGTGGTCGTGCTGGCTGTGGTCGTGCGTGGTCGTGGTCGTGCTGGGGTGTGGTCTTGCTGGGGTGTCGTGCTGGGGTGTGGTCGTGCTGGGGTGTGGTCTTGCTGGGGTGGGGTCGTGCTGGGGTGTGTCGTGCTGGGGTGTGGTCGTGCTGGGGTGGGTGCGTGTCTGGGGTGTGGTCGTGCTGGGGTGGGGTCTGCTGGGGTGTGGTCGTGCTGGGGTGTGGTCGTGCTGGGGTGTGGTCGTGCTGGGGCGTGGTCGTGCTGGGGTGGGGTCGTGCTGGGGTGGGGTCGTGCTGGGGTGTGGTCGTGCTGGGGTGGTCCGCACCCTGTGATTTATCGATCGGGTCGTGCTGGGGTGTGGGTGTGCTGTCGTGCTGGGGTGTGGTCGTGGGGTGGTCGGTCGTGCTGGGGTGTGGTCGTGCTGGGGTGTGGTCGTGCTGGGGCGTGGTCGTGCTGGGGTGGGGTCGTGCTGGGGTGTGGTCGTGCTGGGGTGTGGTCGTGCTGAGGTGGCCCGCACCCTGTGATTTCTCGATCGGGATTTCAAAAGCAAGCGTTGCGCCCGAGACATCCTCAAATTTTAACCCGCCGGCCCACCTCGACCTCGATATTTATCAAGGAAAGAATCCGCCGGCCCACCTCAGTTGAGGCACCGGGGACAAGTTTACAAACTAAAAGAGAACACTGGGCCTATACCCTTTCCGGGAACAATTTCGTCTGGCATGGACTTCGGCGCGCGCCACTTTTCGTCTCCAAAAAAGACTCGCTACGAACAGCGTGACCACCAGCCGTTGCAGCGTCGCGGGGTTGTTCGCGGTCGCACATCGCCGCGGCGACGCGGGGGGGGCTGCGTCGAGCGCGAACTGCTCGAGGCCAACGTCGTCGTCAACGCCCCCGTCGCCGCCCTCCTGCGAGCGGTGCTCCTGCCGCGGCGGACTGTGGGCGGTCGGACAGTGGAGTCGGCCAGTTACGGGGTCAGACTGGAGTCGGACTTCTGGGGAATTTGACGGTGTAGTCGGTCCGCTGCGGAGTCGGACTGCGCGCGGGCTGCGTAGTCGGGCCGCGGAGTCGGACGGCCGCGGAGTCGCCCTGGCGCGGCCGCGACGGCTGGTCGCGCAACAGAGGTCGGCGCGCCAACAGCGCGACCATCGGCCGTTGCAGCGTCGCAGGGCTGTTCGCGGTCGCGCATCGTCGTGGCGGCACGGGGGGCGGCGTCGAGCGCGACGCGCTCGCGGCCAACGTCGTCGCTGACGTCCCCGTCGCCGCCTCCCCCCCCATCCCCCCCCCCCCCCGCGCGGGCCCAGGCAAGGGTTGGCAGGGGGCAGAGGAAGAGGAGGGGGCGTGGCCGGGCGCCTCGGGGGCGGCAGGGAGGGAGCCCGGGGCGGTCGGCCGGTCGGCCTGGCGTCAGCGGGAAGGCTGCGGAAGACCTTGCGGGCGCACCGCGGCCGGCCCCGACGCTGCGCCAGTTTTCGCGCGCTGCTCGACAGGGCGAGCTGGACGGGGGCAGGGGCGCGCAGCAGGGTGCCCTGGCCAAGACTGGAGAGGATGTCAGCGGGGCCAGCGGGGCCCTCGTCGCCACGGGCGAGGAATGTCGACCGAAAGCCGACCACGTCGGAGAGGCGCGCGAAAACCGCGAGGCCATCGGCGAGCTGGACGGAGACGCATTCGCTGGAGGCGCCCATGACCATGCCAGTGCGTCCACAGTAGGGGCTGGACGGGTCGGTAATCGTGACCTGCTCGCCTCTTGAGCAGTTTAGGTTTGGAGGGCCCGCCTCGCCCTCCCCCTCCGAACGCAGCCGCGAGAGGACGGCGTCGACGTCGTCCTCGACCAGGCCAGGGTCACCATCATTGCCGCCGTCGTCGCA